CTGCCGGCAGAGAGAAGGTTTTCTTAATCCTATACAGACCGATTCCTACAGGCCATACAGTCTTGCCCTGATACTGATTTTATGTGTTCTTTTGATGTGTCCAGTCTATTTACCAATGTACCATTGAGGGAAACTCTTGATATCTGTGCAGACTTTTTATACGAAAGTAACATTGCTCCACCTCCTTTTCCTAAGGATATATTTATAGAACTCATGATACTATGTACTAGTTCGGTGGAGTTCAGTTTTGACAATATTATGTATAGTCAAGTGGATGGGGTCCAGATGGGCAGTCCCCTTGGCCCTGCATTAGCTGACATTTTTGTGGGCTACCATGAGATGTTACTTTTCAGCAAAGTGTCTAAACCGTTTGTTTACGTTAGATATGTCGATGACACTTTTGCAACTTTCTCTAATGAAAGTGAGGCTGTTGAGTTCTTTAATGAGCTCAACTCCTTACACAATGGTTTGTCTTTCACTATGGAAGGGGAGAAGGACAACTGTCTGCCTTTTTTGGACGTTTTTGTTGAACGCAGTAGAGGTGGTTTTATTACTAGTATCTATCGTAAACCCACTTTTACGGGACTTTATTTGAATTGGCGTTCATTTGCTCCTGCATCAAGGAAAATTAATCTTGTTAAAACCTTGGTGTATAGAGCGCTTAAAGTGTGTTCTCCTATTAGATTGGACCGTGAATTTGGGAACATTAGGGAGATTTTCCTTAGTAACGGCTATCCGGAGGCCCTTATTGACTATATTATTAGTAAGAAGACTAAGGAATTTCATTCCCCTAAAATCCAGGGGCCTTCTAAATATCCGGTTTATTTGAAGATTCCCTGGATTGGGGATAGGGGTCAGGGCTTAATTAAGCAGGTTAGTAAGTCGGTTTCCGGTTGTTTCCCATCAGTTGCTTTTACGTAGCATTTTCAAACTAGGTCTGCGTTTCCGTCTTTTCGCAAAGATGTATTGCCCTACATCAAATTGAGTAATTTAGTATATGAATTTAATTGCCAGTGTGCTGCTGGTCATGTGGGGCGTACAACCTTGCATTTGGAAACTAGAATTAATCAGCACGTACCTTCAAAATACGACTTGGTAAGATAGATAGAATATGCTATCTTCCCCCCATGAATATGTAATCGGCTATTGCTCAACATTTAGTTGAGAATATAGCTTGTGCCAAGTTGTATAAAAAGAGTGGTTTAAAATTATTCATACAGCCGATTCCAATAATCATTTGAAGATTTTGGAATCGGTCTGTATAGATTAAGAAAACCTCTCTCTGCCGGCAGAAAGAATTTATAAGGTCTCTGAATCTGTTGGGGATATTTTATTTTAACTGTCCTCCTAATTTATTTACATCCTTTCCTCGTTACAAGTATATATACTTGTTTGTTATTTTAGTGTGTTTCCCCCTCTTTTTTTTTTTTTTGCTCTTCAATATCGTTAATATTCTTTTCGCTAAGCCAACGATTGTCTCCTGATGAGATGTTGGCAGAAAGGTCCTTAGAGACTTTTAAAATTAAAATCAATGGTTTCCTTGTTTTTAAAACTATTTATAAATTTTGTACCTCCAAACATTTGTTTATATATATATATAATACTTTAAACTATATTATAATGAATACTTATTATTTTGAAGTAATAAACATGTCGAATTCAAAATAAATCCATTAAACCATTAACTCTCCAGGAATATTTTGATTCATATATACAGGGTGCTATGGGTAAATTGACGCCATTTTATATTTTTATTTTTTAATATCGCGCATGGACGTTGACTGCACAGTGTATATTTTTAATCATTTCATCTGAGACAACTAAATAAAGGGTTCCGTTCGAAATTCCAATCACCTGAAGAAGTCCGAAACGTTGTGAATATGGCAATGAAAATGAGGACAACAGTCCGAATAATGTAAATAATGCAAGTAATCATAATACCTCATCTCAGAGATATAGAGGCCGAAACGTTGGGAATATACCAATGAAGATGAGGATAACAATCTAAATAATGTAAATAATGCAAGTAATCATAATACCTCATCACAGTGATATAGACAAACATATGTTGTTTGCATAATCCATGCATTGGGTCTGCATCATTCTTTCATTTTTATAATATATATTATGCTATGTTTGTAATTCAATATCTTATTCAATTTACTAACATTGATTCTTCTTTAAATATATATGACAAAGTTTTAAATCTACGTTAAAGTTCTGTGAAACTATAATCAAAAGACCTTGAGAAAAAAGAAAAGATCACAAAAGAGAAAATACTGATGAGTACGAAAACAAAACAAAACGTGATCTGATATGGCAAATTAAAAATAATCAGAATTAAAATAATCATGTATTTTCTTTTATTTTAAACTTTCAACTTACAGACTTATTCAGATGTCTGTTGTAATAATTAAAATTCTTGGAATTCTGAAGAGAATTTTTTATCCTATCCACGAGTGTAGATTGCTTAATAAATATCACATATCAGTATTCTTCAATCTATTCACTTTTTGTGACACTTGTCTGTTTATCGCAATACCCGAATTGAACATATAAATGAATGAATCTTTTGGTAATTGTTATATTAGTTATTGTTTTATGTGGAAACATTCGGCATTCATTGACGGAATAGCCAGAACTATTTTAGATTGAAATTTATGAAAACTCTCTATTAAAACAATTTTTTAGGAAAATAGGTTTCTCTCGTCCACTAAGCGTTATTGCTCTTTCCTCTACCAATTGAGACTTCCTTCCTAACCATATATTTAAAGTAGTGTGGAACGTTAATATGTCATTATTTTTCATCAGGTGAGATGTGCTATCCATTTTAGTTGTTGCTGTTGTGGGAAGTTCTCAAGTGATGTGGTTTCTCTGATTTAGTGCAATTTTTTAAGATTCTGTAGCGCCAGATCACGAGTTTCGAAGAAGGGCAGTACTCTCCAAGACGTACAGGCTTCATTCATTTCAATTTTAATCATTGATGATAAAGCGATTGTATCATGAAGATTATGTTCAAGCATGAAACAGACAGTCACCACTGGTGTAAACTTCAGTGCCATGTTATATATATATATATATATATATATATATATATATATATATATATATATAGATATAGATAATGTTCATGATACAAACTGCTTTATCACATCAATTAAAATTCAAATGAATGGTGCCTATATATATATATATATATATATATATATATATATATTCAGTTGTATAGATATGAGTTTGTGACCCTGTGTTTCATGCTATTGCGATCATCAGACAAACTGGTTTATTTTTTAAACTTGGATTTATTTATGCTTGTATGAATATAATTGGTGGTAGGAGGGGGGCATCTATTTCTGTGTTTGTTTGGGATGACACTTTCATACAATTAGGCATACATCCATACAGGTGTACACATTTGACTTCATACAAACACTATATATATATATATATATATATATATATATATGTGTGCGTGTGTGTGTGTGTAGTTTAGCGGAAATTACAATCGGTATATCATGCTTATCTCCGTGACCCCAAATATACATTAGCCAATCAGAATCGCTCGCGGGTGTGTATAAAATGAAGCAGAAATCATATGTCTTTCCTTTTTTTCTCTCCCTCCATACATTGATCATAAGTGTGTGCGTTTTGGCCAAACATGTATAGTTGTTTATAAGTTATTATTATTATTGGCAATTAATAACTAGTCTTCTTTTAAAATTCCCATATTCCCTGCATTTCACTAAGACATTATTTTGTCATTTATAAATTCTACTTAACACGTTAACACCTTCCGTACAATCGGGTATTATTCATTTATTAAAATTAAATCTATTAATTTTAGGTTTCTATAACATTCGGCTTAACTAAAAATTTTCTAAAAATCTGGTATTATTATAGATTTCTACTTCTAAGCCATTAATATCCACCTTCGCCTAAAGGGGGACGGTCGATATTGTAGGATTAATAAAGCTGCTAAAACAAGTTTCATAATAACAATTGAAGTCGAAAAACTTTCTTTTCTCGAAAAGATGAACCTTCTCGAAAGTAAATAATTATACTGAAATTGCTAAGATTTACGAATTTTCTATTCATCTGTTAACCCTCAATACGGTATTTTATAATTATTATATTTTATTATTAGTTATGATACTTAATCTCTTATTGGCCTTTATTTATAAAATAAATTTTATAAGTTTAAATGTATGGGAATAAATACAAAAGACATCAGTTTTCATCATCTGCTATTTCAGGCATCATCTTAAGCCATATAAGGGAATCTCAAAATGTGCAGCCATTTTGTTAGCTTTAGCTACGGCCATGACCTGAAAGTTTAATTAAACACTTTCGTTATAAAGAATAAACGTTTTGATAAAATTTAGAATTTTATAATCAGTAATACAAACCAAATCAACACCGAAACAAAATTTATCAAAGTTTAGAAAGCAAAATTGGTTATGTTTAAATGACACTTTAATGAAGTGCTCAAAATATTTAGATAAAAAGAAACTGAAAAAAAGATATAAACTGATAAACTAAGGAGACAATTAAGTGCATTGATATGGAAAGGCGTTGTGGAAAATAAATAATTTTGCACCATTAAGATGTAGATTTGTACCTACGTATATGTGTGTGGGCACACGTACAGGGAAAAAAACGCACAATGACGCAAAGAAACGGACTAACGCCATATTTGAAAATAAAATCAGGCAAGTTTCACTAAACTGAAGCGTGATGGATACCATATAAAAAAAAAATACGATCAGGAGGCAAAACATATATCTCTTCAGATGCTTTCTTATTTATCCACAGGGCTTTAAAAATAAAATAAAAGAAAAGATGGCCTATCAACATCAAAATAGAAAAGACTGGATAATTTATGTTCAAACTTATGCCAGAAATTGTTAATAATAATAGTAGTAGCAGCAATGATCTGATCGAGTTTGGCAGTTTATCTGGCACTGGTTCTTGTTAAAAAAATATGGTTACATGTCCAAGAAATGGCACGAGCACTTAGCATGGTGAGAGTAATGGAAAGAGGAGACAAGCCAAAAATAATCTGGGACTATGACTTTCAAACAGATTGAGTTAGTGAACAACGAAGGCCAGATATAGTTGTCTATAATACATCTGTTGACTACAATACAACAGCAGAGTAAACAGGAAAAAGATCAGTAACTACACTTCTTGGGGTCACTTGGTTCCATCCTATGAAAGTTTAAATAATTTGTTCACCAACTTGGTGTATAATACTGTGTTATTGGGTACAGGAAAGATTCTCCAAAAAGTACGGCCTGTCTGACGCCTTTGTTGCGAATTGAAAGACATTATGATTCCTGGTACTCAAGACAAGTACACAACAGCATCATGATAACTTCAACATATCATTAAAAAATAACTTTTTTTTAGTTTTTAAACAAATTTGCATAAATGAGAATGTTCTGCCCAAATACACACGAAATTCCTCTCTACATATACATATGTAAAATAGAAGTTTCATTTTTATTTTAAACATTGTGTATTGCCTTTATCGGCCTGCGCGTTCAAGAAATCTTAAAGAAACTCTGCGACTGGGTTCGAACCTGCGTCCCGATCCTAGCTGTGACGACCTCTTTCTCCTACAAAGGAGGACACAAGTCCGGACTCTGCCGGAGAGCTTTTTTACTTTATTCATATTTCTCAGGTTTGTAGGCCGGTAACGGCAATACACACTGTTTAAAATAAAAACGGCGCATCTATTAAAAATTTGGATTCTCACTAAAAGTAACGTTTGAAGTAATAAAAACGTCAGATTAAAAAAAATCCATTAATTATATATATATATATATATATATATATATATATAGAGAGAGAGAGAGAGATAGATAGATAGATAGATAGATATAGATACAATAACTGTGTTTTAAATAATGAGTATTCTAAACTTTACTCTTTATTATAAAAGATTTGAAAGACATTTCAGAAGTGCTATTAATAACAAATGTGTCTTGATTATCCTTACTTTCGCAATTGACGAATTGTCTTGCTTTTAAATGCCAATATTTTTGATGCCATTGTGATAATCTCGTATTTCGGTCTGTGTGTAAAGGATTATGGCGTGAAACTGATGAAAAAGAAATAAATGCGCATCCCAGAATGTCTTGCAACTCCATCCTTTTCATATTGCTAAAACAAAGAAATCGCTAAAATTGATCACCTACCTTTCTACTTCCGGTTTTGGCCATGAAAAAATAAAAGAAAGTATAAGATCCAAAATAGAAAGAAGAACGCGCATTCCATTCCACAAGATCCGAAGAAGAAACACTGTGTTTAGTCAATCGGATTGATTCTCAGAGTGTACTGTTCGATCACCAAACCGGGCAGATTGTTGAAGTTTAACATATCCGAAAGGAAGTCATTTTTTTTAAAGAATCAAGAAGGTGAGACCCATGAGCATTTCGATGTATCAAACATGGAATTTTACTGTATTTTTAAAGATTTCACATATTTCAGAAAATTTTAAATGTTCTTGAGGCAAATTTTTTTAAAACAGAAACATTCTCTGTTTTTATAACAATATTTTCATTTGGAAATTCTATTAAGAAATACAGAAGGTAAATAGTGTGTAAAGAAGATTTATTCGTGCGTGTGTTGAGGAATATATGATTATTTGCAAGAAGAAATACGCATATATACAAACGAGAGAGAAAGAATCGTGGGATGGTGTGGTGGTGAAAATTAAAACAGAGGGAGAGAGAGAGGGGGGAGAGAGGCGGGTGTGTGAAAGAGAGTGTAAAAGAAAAGCAAACAGAGAAGGAAGAGATGGAAAGAGAAAATAAACACTGTCAGGTTAAAGTGAGTCTGGGCGACATTACATCCTTGCAATGTTCATTCAGAAATCTTTTTAGTCCGCCCGCTTCTTCGTCTGATTAATTCTTGCAACACAAGAAAATACATCCAAGGGTTAGAGTGGAGTAGTGGGGAGTTGCGATGAGTAAAAGGAAAAAGAGGTGGGGAGGGCAAGGACCGGATTTCATTTTCCATCTTGATCGCTTTGATTCTGTAGAAATCGATCAGCTTCTCTACCCATACTTATTGCCTATCTATCTACCTATCTATCAATGATCATTATCTATCTATCTATCTTTGTTACTATCTATGTTCATTTCTATCTATCTATGTTCATATCTATCTTTGTTCCTATCTATCTATGATCATATTTATCTATCTATCTATCTATACGCAGCTGATATCTATGTTCAGATTATCTATTTATGTATCTATCTATCTCCTTTTCATATCTGTCTATCTCCTTTTCATATCTGTCCTTTTCATATCTATCTCCTCTTCATATCTATCTCCTTTTCATACCTATCTATCTATCTATCTATCTCTTTTTCATACCTATCTATCTATCTCCTTTTCATATCTATCTCCTTTTCATACCTATGTATATATCTCTTTTTCATACCTATGTATATATCTCCTTTTCATATCTCTCTATCTATCTCCTTTTCATACCTATCTATCTATCTATCTATGTCCTTTTCATATCTATCTATCTATCTATCTCCTTTTCATATCTATCTATATCCTGTTCATATCTATCAACCTATTTATTTATCTATATCCTGTTCATATTTATCAACCTATTTATTTATCGATGTCCTGTTCATAACTATCTACTATTCATATCTGTCTATATATATGCTCTTCATGCTATGTATGTATGCATGAATCTACTGTTCATATCTCTTTATCGATGTTTTTTCATATCTATATAATCTATCACAGTTTATTCATTTCTATCAATCTACTGTTCATTTCTATCGATCTATATCTACTGTTGACATCTATTTATCTATTGTTAATGTCTCTCTACCGTTGATAGCTACAGCTCATATATATCTATCTAATGTTCATTTCCATCTATCTACTGTTCATCTATCGACCTATCTCTCTACTGTTTAAATCTATCGATCTATCAATGTACTTTTAATTTATGTGTAACAATGTATTGATCTTATTTATCTACATACTTCAGTTAGTTCATTATCTATCTCAGTCTGTTCATATCTATCTATATGCTGTTCATATATATATATATATATATATATATATATATATCTATTCCTATCTGTCTACTTTTCATATCTATCTATTTATCGTTCTGTCTGCTCATATTGATCTATCTAAATCCGTTCATATATCTCCATATATCTATGTAATGCTCATATATTTGCTTACTGTTCGTATCCATCTATCTATTTATTTATCTGTCTACTGTTCATATATATCTATCGATCTCTTTATCTACTGTTCATATGTATCGATCTCACTATCTACTGTTCATATGTATCTATCGATCGCTCTATCTGCTGTTCATATCTATGTTCATATCGATCTAAGCCCGTGCATATCTATCGCAGTCTGTTCATATCTATCTATCGATATATCTGTTTGTCTCGGTCTGTTCATTATCTATCTCTCTCAGTCTGTTCATATTTGTCTTTCTATCTCTCTCAGTCTGTTCATATTTGTCTTTCTATCTCTCTCAGTCTGTTCATATTTGTCTTTCTATCTCTCTCAGTCTGTTCATATTTGTCTTTCTATCTCTCTCAGTCTGTTCATAACTATCTATCTTTCTATTTGTCTCAGTCTGTTCATAACTATCTATCTTTCTACCTGTCTCAATATGTTCATATCTATCTTTCTATCTGTCTCAATCTGTTCATATCTATCTAATAAAGTCAGTTCATATTTACCTATCTATCTAAGTCTGTTCATATCTATCTGTTGCTCATATATATCTATCTACTGTTCGTATCTATCTACTCTTCATATGTATTTATCGATCTAACTGCTGTTCATATCTATGTATCTCTGTATCTCCTTCTCTCTCTCTCTCTATATATATATATATATTGCTCATATATATCTATGTACTGTTCATATCCATCTATCGATCTATCTACTGTTCAGATCACTCTATGCCTGTCTGTTCATATATTTATCTATCAATTTACTATCTCTCTATATTTCATATGTATGTACTTTTTATATCTCTATCTACTGTTCATATCTATTTATCTACTGTCCATATCTATCTTCTGTTCATTTCTGTCCATCTATCTAGTGTTTATATCTGTCTTCCTACCTATCTCTCTATTTGCTCTTCATTTTGATCTATCTAACTATTGTTGATATCTATATCCGCTGTTCATTCTTTTATATCTATATCTGTTCGTCAAGTAAATCTATAAAATTTATCTATCTAGGCCCGTTCTCTGTTTCTATCTGTTCACATGGAAATCTGACGCAATATACATCTGATGACTTCTTAACTTTGATAACTCCTTAGATTTCAATTGCCATGGCTATCATAGTCCGTTCTTGTACTTTTCAAACGCACGACACTCACTTTGTTTTAACAGTTGATTTTGTTGCCGAGATCACGTGAAGTGTTTGTCTCTATCAACAGATAACCACAACACTTAATTACCATTGTCTTCGGCCAATCTATGTATCAAAGTACCGATCTGCTTGAAGGACAGACATTATCGCTTTCTTTCATTTCTGTCTCAAAAGATTACCTTCCGTCTGTTATCGTCAGAAATCTTTGGAAATTTCAAAGCGATTGATTATCAAGAAAATGAAATTCCTCGTCTCTCATTTTGTCTAACTTTCCAGTTTTTTATACACTCTACTTTCTTTCTGATTAAGCAGTTTTCTTCATACACTCATATTTCACACACACACACATATATATATATATATATATATATATATATATATATATATATATATATATAAAGGTTAAATAAAATTCGTGTGAATATAGTCAAGTGTTCTCTTTTCAACCCCGACATCGAATTCGATATCTGGGTTGAAAAGACAGACAACTACATTTATTGTCTGCCGAAATACCCTATTCCCACATGAGGTAAAAAGCAATTTTTGGGAATATATATATATATATATATATATATATATATATATTATATATATGTTTGTATATAATAGGAAAGGCTCAACCTGGATTCTATCCTATTGGGATGTAAGCAAATATATGGATATAGATCCGGCAGTATGAAGAAAAATATATACGGAAAAAACAAAACAAAAATCCTTATATACAATTATGCAGTTTTAATGTTAGTATGTCCTGAAGATGGTTTATTAGACCGAAACGTCGACGTTGACATATTAACATTAAAACTGCATCATTGTATTTATTTTCCATATTTTTTTTTCATATATATATATATATATATATATATATATATATATATATATATATATATATATATATATATATATATACTTGGCAGCGTCAACCCTCAACGAGGAACAACTTGCGTCAATACTTAAGTTTCACGATATCGCGATCTTGAAGCAACTAGAAAATTTTTTGCTCTGTTTGGAGCAGTGTTATTTGCTGCATAGGTAAGCCTTTTGGGTTTTTCTTAGTTTTTTTTTCTAAAGAATTAATGAATTTGGTTTTACTCAGGTATTTGTATTACTACAAATGTCATTATAGTGAAAAATTCATATTATATAAATACACCCCATTTTTAGGTGTGTCTCGGCCTGTACATTCGAGAAAGCTTAGTAACTCATACGTGTTCTCAATCATGGATTGAGCGAGCCAGTAGTAAGCATCATGATTTTCCCTTTTCTTGTACACACTGCTTAATATCTATTTCAGTCTGTTCATTACCTACCTCCGTCTGTTCATATCTATCTATGTTCATATATATCTACCTGTTGTTCATGTGTATTTATCTCTGTTCATATATATCTACCTGCTGTTTATATGTATCTATGTATCTCTGTTCATATATATCTACCTAGTGTTTATATGTATCTATCTATCTGTCTATTAATGTACATATCTATCAACAATCTACTGTTTATATGTGTCTGTTCTTCCTATCTATCTATCTATCTATCTCAGTATATATATATATATATATATATATATATATATATATATATATATATGTATGTTGTTCATATCTATCTAAGTTTGTTCATATCTGTCTGTCTATGTTTGTTCATCCCGGTTGAATCTGTTTTTTTTTTAATTTCATTTAAGAGAGACAAATCCTTTTCTGCCTGACCTGACCCATTGCTAGCTGTTTTTATAGAAATATCTTTTTATTACCACGATGACCGGAAAGTTTATTTAGGCATACCATTCAAGTATAAGAGGAAAAAAATTGATCATTGTGCCAGAGGTTGTTTCACCAAACACTGCAAATTGCATCAACCTGAAAACTAGGGTCATATTCTTCAATAGCGTCGTCAGATCGAAACTTTCATGTGGATGTCATGCAGGGCATCAAATTCGTTTAAGAATAACTAAACTGTCAGCTGTATATAACCACTTCCTGAGAAGTTGAAAAAAGGGCTTTGAGTGAGGGTCTTGGCAAAGATTATCTATTTTTGGACATTGTGGATTGGCGCTACGGATTCACAAAGCAAAGAACTGTGTCATATAACAGAAACCACGTCACTTGAAGATTACCAACATCAGCAACAAATAAAATGGATAGCATGTGTACCTCAAAGAAAAATAATCACATAAGATGTTGTTATTCCACACTACTTCAAATAAAAGTTTAGGAAGGAAACCTCCATCTATACTGGAAAGAGTGATAACGCCTACTGGGCATGAGAAGAGAAAATAATGACATAATCAAGATGTTGACGTTCCAAACCACTTTAACCAAAAGGTTAGGAAAGAAACCTCCATCAATACTGGAAAGAGCGCTAACAGCTACTGGACTCGAGAAACCAGTTTTCTTGAAAAAATATTTTAAAAGTAAGATTTTTATGAATTTCAAGTGAAAGTTGTAGTGGCTGCTCGGTCAATGAACGCCAAATGTTTCCTTGTAGGGAAACGGCTAATATTACAATTACCAAACAGTTAATATAAGAATTACCATTCGCCCATAAATATTTTTCTGCCCAGCATGCCAACAAAAATATGTCGCATTATTAAATTCGACAAGTATCCAGGCTGATCGTCTCTTTTTGGAAGATTTACGTAAAGAATATGTTTCTTACTCTGACCAATGCACATTTGCTTTTGAGGCAGTCTAACCTCTGCATCGTAAATACCAATATCTAAAAATAGAATCTCATAAAAAAAAGAAAGTCTATTGGAATCTGACCAGACATTTCGGGCTTTTTGATAATTTACCAAACATTGATCAAACTAGAAATAAGCAGTGAATAAAGTTAAGTAAGTAATGTTTACATGTCTGTAGTAGTGCCTTTTGTAAATCTGGTGGAATTACGACAATTTCGCTAATACCATTTTACGGCATATGCAAATCACACACTGAGAGAAACGTAGCGGAGTTTAGTAAAGGAAAGTGACTAATATATACATGCATACATACATGCACACACACATATATATTTACGAAATGGATTTAAATCCAACAGATTTTTTAATTTACTTGTTTAAACGTTATTTTTGAAAATGGATACACATATTTGAGTAAATGCTC